TATATATAATACCCCTTTAACGACTGCTATTTCAGTTATTCTTCGTGTACATAGTATGTACATGCACGAATACATTTAAAACGCTAAACGAGACACTCGTGTTTTGGTAGTGCTTGCTGGCTCACTGTCTCTCAAGCATCGCGGACGAACGAAACAAATCGAGCTATGCTTACATACCGAAAAGTTTGGTATGCAAATGCTTGTACAATAAAGAAAGAGCTCGCAAATGAGAGTTCGTATATGCTTTGCTTCGTATCATAACCGAAAAGCTTGTGCAGTCACGAAGAACAAAGAGTGACGCTCAGAGCGAGACGTGTCTGCACAATTATTTTGGTTATGATGCGAAGAAGAGCATAAACGAAAAAACGATCAACTCTCATTTGCAAGCTCTGGTAAAAAGTAAAGTAAAACAGAATACTTGGCGACTTTGAGTACCATTCGTTTCGTTTTGCAGCAATGCTGCGACGCTCAAACACTTGCAAATATCTGTATATTTGGAAGACGACCGCAAGCGAACATACCCATGCAGGCTTCTAGGACATACATACACACAGACACTCGCGTACGCATAAACACGCATGAATTGCAGAGTGGGCTTATTATGGGAACTTAATTGTTTAATACTTTTCTTGTGGATGGACTATCTTTATGAAACTTGTAGATCGTGATTATAGCTTAAATGCGCCTTTTACAAATTAAGTGGCGAGGGGGTTGATATAATGGTAGGGGGTGAGTTATATTAAAAATCTAAGTTCTATAAAGTAGATATACATAAATCTACATTTTCAATTAAGCTACTCTGCTTTAAAGATGAAAAAGAGATGTAATTAAATAACTGATTTTTGCTAATGTTTTTAATCGTTAGTAAAATACTGGGATAAGTTATTGATTTTTGCAGATAAACAGAATATCCGGGCTATATTTACGGACATTTTAAAAACAATGGGTTCAGGGTATAAACATAAAAACAAAATATATACGTGTGTCTAAGTTTATTATATTATTGCTTATATTATTGATTATAATAATTTAATTTACAATTAGAAGAATTTAGCAATTTTTTGGCTTGATTTTTTGACATAAAAGTATTAAACAATGATATCGTTTCAGGTCTTTCAACATCCAATTCGACTACGTCAAAAATTGTTGCAGAAAAGTTTCTCTAGCAAAAAAAATCGGGCTACACCGATATCATGGCCCAAAGCATGTGTTCTTCACAACAATCAGATATTACCTTTTCAAATGAATATGAAAAAATTGACTCTAAAAAACTCGAAAATCGCTCAATATATATCATTAAAAATACAGATGAAATGCAATTAAGCAGCTTTAAGCAACTTTGTAATCCTGCTCCGACACTTCCTATACATTCTCCACATTCTCCCGGTCATCTCAATCCATATCCTAATACTCAGCAAAGAAAACTGTCAGCTAGGTACATAGATAATAAAATTATCAAACAAAAGTCTGCAAAAAAAACAATTATCGTTCAAGAAATTTCTGAAAATCCAGTTTGTTTCAGTGAAGAAGAGATACTAGCAACAACAGCTCATTCTAGTAAGATATGTAGATTTACAAAATCAATAAACCAAAATGATTATTTAGGAAACTCTGCAATGAAATATATTCTTAATGATAATCCGAAGAGAAATTTCTTGAATTCGATGCTTGAGAACATGCCGAATCAAAAGGATATGAGTACTATGGAAGAAACACATTTACGTAAAAAGGAAATGTCAACAAGTGATTTAAAATTTACAAAAATTTCTTCAGATGTAAATCAGAAACCTAAAAGTTCTCTTGAGGCTCAAGACAATCATAATAGACATCAATTTATTTTCAAAATTAGTAAATCTGAGCAGACATCGCCAAATATCATTTATAAAAACTCGATTTTTGACTATAGTTATAACAAAAGAAGTACGGATTCTCTGCTACGAGTTTCAGGTATAGACCCATGGATAAAGAAAACTGACGTGTCAGATTATGGGTTAGTTGAAGTTGGGAAAAGTACAGCGGATCCTTGGGTCAAGCGTGCAAGCATTGCTTACAAAAAAACAGCTTTTAGTAAAGAAAAATGTCAAAATGGGAATGTAAGATCAGGTTGTGCAAAAGCAGATTTTGTTCCGGAAACAAAAAAAAAAACTTACTTAAAACCAGATATGCCACATCAACAAAAATGTAGAAATGGGGAATCGGTACTTTCAGCACCTCCTTCTCCTAGTCTAAAAAATACGTTTAATAATATCTGTAACATACATTATTCACAAAAGAAAAGTTTTCCGACAAAATCAGCCAGTTTTTCACCAGCTAAAGGTAAACCATTGCTGAGTTCATTTGAAGATTCTTTATATGTCAATTTAACATCACTTCAATCAGTATCAATAAATTCAAATTCTGTTACAAATCCAAATCAATTAAGAGACACAGAAAATAGAAATTCCTATCGCTTAAATGTAAATAATTCCAATAATTTACTCAGTAGACACAGCTTTTCTTCTTCAATTTCTAAACCGTCTAAAGATGAACTTCAATTAAATATTTGTCGTCTATCGGAACAAATGGGTCGAATGGACAATGTACAACTTTTATTGAGTAATGATAGCAGTGTTAATAATCAAGAATATGCTGTGGGAGAAACTTTTGCCCAAAGAGCACAAATTTACGAATTTCCCGCGACACCCACAGAATCGGATATAACGGATAAAACAGGCTTTGAAGATATATTGAAATTTAAGAAAGACGGCGGTCGCAGTGCTAAATACAACCCTAAAATTTCAACAGTTGTAGATAAAACAGAGTTGTATATTAGTCATCAGAAGCCAAAACCCATGCCCGAAACCACCTGTTAAACCATTGTTCGAAATTGGATTCTCAAGATGTGCTTGCGTATTTGTGTATGTTTATATATTCGAATCAAAATATGTTAGAATAAATAATGGCATAAATAAATGTATTAATATCAGTTTTATTTAAGCCTGCAAGCTTCACAGTATAAATGCATTTATATAAAATTGGAATGCTTATACATTCCTAATAAAAACACATTATTTTAAGTTGTAGGTTAAAAATATTTGAAAAAACAATGCTTATGTTCTTATGTATTATTTTATCATAGGTATAATTTTTGTAAATCTATTTAATTCATTGTAATAAAGACCTATTTAAGCAATCATACAATTTACAATTCCAAATATTTCCAAGGCAATTGAATTCCTTATTATAGAAGACAATTCTCTGTTCGATACAATTATAATACTCTATTACTATTATAAGAAAACTTTACTCGGGGCACCTAACTAAAGTATCCCTGGATCCCAGTAACTTTGTGTTATCAAATATGCTTATTTATTAAACCAGAAAAAATGTATACCACTCAATACCCTTCTGGCGAAACTAGCTTGAAAGATGTAGAAGATATAATTATACCCTGAGCCCATTGAAAATGGGAAATCAGGTTATAATGGTTCTGTGAAAAGTATGTAACAGGCATGAACCCATTTCAATGGGAAATCAGGGTATAATGGTTTTGTTGAAATGTATGTAACACGCAGAAGGAGGCGTGGCAGACACCACAAAATATATTTATTCTTGATCAGGGCGACGAGTTGAGTTGATTTACCCCTGTCCGTCTGTCTGTCACTATATTTGAACGCGTCGATTTCAGAAGATACAAGAGCTAGAGACCTCAATTTTTGTTTGTAAAATGTCCGTGTATACCATGCGGATATTGAGTTTTGCTTAAAAAATCCTCCCGATATTTTTATCGATAAAAAACCTTATCGAAAATCAGTTATGAAATTATATCTCCTACAACTTCAAAGCTAGTCTCCAAATTTTCAATGTAGATTTATGTATATCACTAACCAGAGAACACATAGACTAGACATGTAGAACGAACTTTTTCAACACCAAAAAAATGCGCTGAGGAGACTACACAACTTCGTATATGCTTGAGGCTCAAACAGTGAAAATATTGCACGACAAAATCAGTGTACTGCAAGCGCTCAAACGAAATGGTGCCATT